CAGCCACCCTCAGCTACAGAGTTCCAAACTAGCCTGAGCTACATTTAGGCCCGAGCCTTGGAAAGTTCATGGGATCAGGCCCTGCCAACTCCTATACTTACTTCTAAGTCCCTAGGTGACATCCGCTGTCATGAAGCCCGTTTCACAAGTGGAGAAAACGAGGCCAGGGATGACGGCTCTCACTCGGAAGACCCTTGGGTGGAGAGCGGGGGTTGCTGGTGGTGGGGGAACCTGAGCTAGGGAGTAAGATCAAGTCACGCAGTTCTTGTAGAGTATGACATTGTGAGCTCTGACACTTAATCTGTAAGCATCTGGGTGATGGCTACTGTCAGGTGGGGAAATTGAGGCCCAGGGGTTGCCAGCTCCCTCCGAGAGGTCCCCGCGGCTGGAGCGCAGGGGCCCGGCCTCACCCCGAAGCCGCTGGTCGGCGCCGTCCTGCATCTCCAGCAGCCGCTCCACCATCTGCTCGTGGCGCCCGAGCAGCTGCCGCTGCTGCTTCTCGGCGTGGTTGGCCCCCAGCAGGCTCATCAGCCAGGTGCTCACCTCTTCCATTTCACGGAAAGCCGCCATGACTGACCGCGTCGGCTCCAAACCCGCGCAAATTTGTCTCTTCACGGCCCCGCCCCCTTCCAGAGCGCCTAGGTCTCATTGGATAGTCCGTACATCCGTCTTCTGCAGAGCTCAATCAGCGAAGGGAGAGGGCGGGTCGGAACGAGCGGCCATTTTGTGGAGAGCTAAGCGAAATTTCGTCTGTCACTCATGTGCGATGGCCAATCATCGTAGGGAGGGCGTGTCACGAGGGGCCTGCCCGCGCGCGTTTGGTCCTACGCAGGCGTCAATTCTTCTGCTGAGAGCCGGGAGCAGTCCTCAGCACACTCTGTTGGGCGTGCTCAGACTTGAGAAGTTGCGCGCCCCTAGAGGTGTTGCGGCTGGAGTCCAGGGGCCAAGCGGTGGATTGTTATGATAAAGCGCGAGGGAGACAGCTTATTGAGAAGTTTTATTAGAAAGGGGAGGGAGTGGGAAGGAAAGAGAAAAGAGGTAAAGAGACGCAGAGACAGGGGGCAGAAGAGAGGAGGGAGACAGGAAAAGCCCTGTCCGTCACAGGGAACAGCGGGAAAGAGGGTGTAAGTGGGCAGGGGTCTTTCTTTTAAAGGGTCCTTTGCACCTGAGTGCAGACTAGTAGTCATGGAACCCAGTGCTGACCAGAGAACTGCCTGAGTGCATTCTGCCAGGTGATAGGGGCAGGCCAGCATAACGCCCGAGTCCGTACAGGATTGCTTACTTTGCTTGAGTATTTTTAAAAATTTATTAACTATACATAAAACCGGAATTTATTTTTTTTGCGCGCGCGCGTGTGTGTGGTTGAGACTTACAGTGTAGCCCTCGCTGTCCTGAAACTATGTAGACGGAGCTGGCCTCAAACTCAGAGATACAACTACCTCTTCCTCCTGAGTGCTGGGATTACAGGCGTGATTGTTCACATTTCTGTATTTTTGTTTTGTTTTTTGAACCAGTTTCTCTGTGTAGCCCTGGCTGTCCTGGAACTCACCCTGTAGAACAGGTTGGCCTCAAACTCACAAAAATCTATTTGCCTATGCCTCCCAAAGGATTAAAGGCTTTTCTGTATTTTTTTTTTTTAGACTTATTTTATGTGTATGGATAAGCATTTTGCCTATATGTATGCATAGGTACCACATACTTTCCTGATGCCAGCAGAGGTCAAAAGATCATCTGTTCTCTTGGAATTAACTATGGATGTTTGTGACCTATCATGTGGGTGCTGAGAACTGAACCCTGGTCCTCTACAACAACAGCCAATGCTCTTCGATAATTTCTCTAGTTCGTGGTTCTGCATTTTTCTAAGTAGGGGCCTGGCCTGGCATGGTAGTCATGTTTTAATCCTAGCACTCGGGAGGCAGAGGCAGGAGGATCTCCGTGAGTTTGAGGCTGCCCTGGTCTATGAACCCAGCTCCAAGACAGCCCAAAAATAAATAAATAAAATGTGTAAATAGGAGCCTAGCGTGCAATCCCAGTATTCAGGTGGTAGGAGCAATAAGATTGGAGTAAATTCCAGGCCAGCCTGGGCAACAGGCTGAGTTCCTGTCCCAACAAGAGCAAGGCACCCTGAAGTTGAGTGTGATGGTTCACACTTGTCATCTCAGAACTCCAGAGAGAAGAGGGATTGTCATGCATGGGAATCCAGTCTGAACTACAGAGTGAACCCTGTCTCATTAGGTACACACACACCAGACAGACACATGAACTGAGTCTCATAAATTGATCTTTGACCTGCTTACACATGCTGTGGCATGCACCCCACAATAATAATAGAAAAAGAGAATTTTTAAAAATCAAGGTGATCAAAGCTACAAGAAAAATGAAATAAATAAGTTGTGTGGGGGTGCTAAGCTCTCATAGTAGAAAGTGCTCCAGCTTCCACCTGGCCTCAGGCCAGCCCACCTTCCATGGGCCTAATCTCAGGAAATTGCATAACAGTGCAGGTTTGAAAAAAAGGGAGCTCAGTGGGAGAATGCTTGCCTAACACGCAGATGGCCTGAGTTAAAGCTCTGGGGGTGGGGATCCAGGGTTCAGTTTCTAGCAGAGCAATTCACAATTCATGCCAGTGACCTTGGCTGGTTCCTACTGGTTCTTTGCAAACCTTGAGGCTAAAGATAGCCTGCTTATCAGCAGAGGTGGGGTGGGGGTCAGGAGATAAGTACTGGGATTGAGCAAGAGGACCCAGGAGACATAAATCAAATCCTGGGCCAAAAGTGCCACCCACCTAATCTAGGAGCAAAGGGTGTGCCACCTCACAGCCACGGCTCAAGAGCTCCTGTCCAAAAAAGAGGCACACACCTCAGAAGCCCTGCTGATGTTGGGGCTGGACAGACAGAACTGCAGGTGTCTTGACAATAAAAATACAGGACTAAGATGTGGAGAACAGCAGACTGCTTGCCTGGCACTCAGGGAGTGGTGGGTTCAGTGCCCAGTACTGATGCAGTGGTGCTTTTAATCCCAGCCCTCAACTGTGAAGAGAGGTTCAAAACAAAACAGGACTAGGCAGCAGAGAGCTTTCCTGGCATGCAGGAAGCTCTGGGTTCTAATCCTAGTAGGGCATAATTTGGGAATAGTGGTATAGACAGGTCCCAGCACTTAGGAGACAGAGGCAGGAGGATCAGGACTTCAAGGTCATCCTTGGCTACATAATAAGATCAATATTAGCCTGGGCTACACAAGACCCAGTCTCAAAAAACAAAACTAACAACAACCACAAACCAACCAGAATAAACGGCCAGGCATGGTGGCCCACTTTTAATATCAGCTAGGATACACAGGCTGGCAGGTTTCTGTGAGTTCAAGGCCAACCTGGTCTGCATTGGGAGTTTCTGGCCAGGCAGGGCTGGCTACACAATGAGACCCTGTCTCCAAAAACCAAAATCAAAACTAATCAAACAACAACAATCTAGAATAAAGAAAGCTGGAGAGATGGTTCAGTGGTTAAGAGCACTTGCTGCTCCATCAAGAGCTCTAGAGTTCAAATCCTTGTTGGGTGGTTCACAAACACTTTGTAATTCTAGTTCCAAGAGACATGGCCTTAGAAGAAACCTGCATACACAGAGAAACACAGATACATCACACACATACAAAAAGAAAAAAAATTTTTTTTTTTTTTTTTTTTTTTTCCGAGACAGGGTTTCTCTGTGGCTTTGGAGGCTGTCCTGGAACTAGCTCTTGTAGACCAGGCTAGTCTCAGACTCACAGAGATCCGCCTGCCTCTGCCTCCCCTCCCGAGACTAAAGGCGTGCAGCACCAACACCCGGTCCTATAAAGAAAACCTTAAAAAGACTAGTGCAACTGAACAAGGAGCACAAACAGGAGGACCTGAGCCCTCCAATACATTAAACCCAGGCAGCTCATATGTGGTGGCACACACCTGTAATCCCAGCACTTGAAGACAGGAAGGTCTCTGTGAGTTTAAAGCCAGCCTACTCTACATAGTGAGCTCTAGTACAGCCAGCACTACATAGAGATTCTATCTCTAAATAAATAAATTCAGCCAAGAAGCATGGATCACACACACACACTTTTCCAGACAGGGTTTCTCTGTGGCTGTGGAGGCTATCCTAGAACTTGCTCTGTAGACCAGGCTGGCCTCGAACTCAGAGATTCATCTCCTCTACCTCCTGAGTGCTGGGACTAAAGGTGTGCACCATCAATGCCCAGCATGCCTTATTATTCTAAAAGACTTATATTTATGTGTGTGAGGCATGTGAGTGCAGTGGCCACAAAGGCCATAGGATTCCTTGGAGCTGGAGTTACAAGGGCTGTGAGCTCTGACCTGCCTGGCAGCATGGTGCTGGGACAGAACTTGGGTCCTGTGGAAAAGCAGTGTAAGCCCTTACTGCTGAGCCATGGCTCCAACACTGAGCTCTATGTTTTTTTCAAGACAGGGTTTCTCTGTGTAGCCCTGAATGTCCTCGAACTCACTCTGTAGACCAAGCTGGCCTCGAACTCACAGAGATCCTCCTGCCTCTGTCTCTTGAGTGTTGGGATTAAAGGAGTGTGTCACTACTTCCCACCTTAAGTTTATTTTTAAAAACTTAAAAGATCCACAAAATAATGACCTGTGGTGTGGCAGCACTTGCCTGGTGTGCACAAGGCCTGGTTTTAATCCCCAGAGTTGAACATACAAAGTATAGCAACAGACAAAACAAGATACAGGGGTCTGGGGATATGGCTCAGTTAGTAGAGCGCAGCACACACAACATACTGGGGTACATGCCCAGTGTCAGACTCACTGGGTGGGAAGAGGAGGCAGGAGGATCAGAAGTTCAAAGCCAGTCTAAGGAAAAAGACACAAAGGCCGGCTGTTGGTGGCACACACCTTTAATCCCAGCACTTGGGAGGCAGAGGCAGGGGGAATCTCTGTGAGTTCGAGGTCAGCCTGGTTTACAAAAGCTACACAGAGAAACCCTGTCTTGAAAACAACAACAAAAAGGTCAGCATTGTTTGTAGCTTTATTAAGTTTTTACTTCTAAAACATGAGTACAAGAAAAGAATACTTCATTTATGTGTAACACTGTCTCCATGGACGTACCGGTTGCAGAGCATGTGTGAAAAGAGCACAGGCGCAAGGGTCTCATGACCCTGGTGGCCCCCAAGCAGAGAGGAGCAGTGGCACAGACAGACAGGGGCTTCTATGATGCTTCCAGAACTGTAAAGTAAACCCTGCTGGCTGCGAGGCTGGAGCTAAGGGCTCAGCTTAGATGCTCGGCTGTGAGGATCACTCGGACACCAGCAGCTCTCCCATAGACCTGTTTGTACACGTGCAAAGACTCCAACACAACCCCATCCAGCAGCCCACACTGCTCATACACCTATCCACGCACCCACTCCCTACCCACCCATCAATGTGCCTACTCACCTATCCATGTGCCTACTCACCTATCCATTCGCCTACTCAAGGATTTGTCAGCCCGTCTGTCCATCATACTTTTTCTCATGCCCACCAAGCCTCTATGCCTCAGACGAACCCCTCTAACAAAACTCAAGCAGAGTAAAATTCCATCAAACCAAGAGACCTACTTGTCTAGAAGAGAAGCAGCACTTTCCTTTAGTTCATGAGCCTCAGCTCAGCTATGCTGAGGTTTGACTTCAAAGCCCAATGGGTCCAGATGTGACCTGGATAAGACTGGGAGACTTGAGAGGAGGCATGCTCCCCAACACAAGTCACATTTAGGATTCTTTACAAAGGAAACGAACAAGGGAAAACAAAACATATGCTGAGATTCTGGGCACAGAAAAAAAAAAAAAAAAACCCACTAAGAGAAAAGTGCAGTCTGTGTCCTGTCACCAGCAGGCGCTCGAGGGCTTTAAAACATAGAACTACTCATCTGGCCCTTAGGGTTTCAGCAAAGCCTGTCACTTTAAACCAGTTCTGGGTGTGCTCTGAGGCCAGCCAGTGCCTAATCAGGAACACATGGGCTTTGGAACTCTGTACTTGGTCAGTATCACATCCTCTGTTTACTCTCCTTTGAGGAGAGCAGTTCTGGCTGCAATGCTGGGAGACATTCTGAAATGGCCTTTTCTCTTTGGTCTGTAGGTCTGAGAGTTTTTCTAGGAACATTCTCCTGAGCAGTCCCTGTGGGGAATGGGGAGGTCTGTATCATTTCTCCTCCTTGTGAGTTGGTCATTTCCAAGTCTCTAAGACCTGAATTGCAGGGTGATGAGGTGCCCCAACTCGTGTGTGTGTGTGTGTGTGTGTGTGTGTGTGTGTGTGTGTGTAGGGGTTGGTGACACAGAGAAAAGAAAAAGACAAATGAAAACCCTGCTTTCAACCCTGGGAAATGGCTCAAGAATGGCAGACACTTGTTCAACGATGCAATCACAAGAGACACCCCTGGACCCCACAAGCTGTCTGGGGGTGGGGGGCAGTGAACAAAACCCTATTATACTCTAGACAATAAAATGAGGCGACAGAGGGCATTAATAAGCAGGCCTTGTGGAAACCTGCTGTAGTGAAGTCAGGACAATGGAAACTATAACATTCCAGTGACATTCAAATTTAGCAACTCAAATTCTGACCCCTCCCTTCTCCTAACAATGACTCAAAAATACAGTATTTTCCCTTTTGCCCCCACTCCTCCCACAACTGCCGGCTGGTTGTCCTACACTTTCTTCATAAGAAACCCACACCCGGGTGTCAGCAATTGGTGCCAACTGGGAGGAGAATGTAGCTTGGCTTTTTGGCTTTAAATATGGCTTTGAACCCAGGGTGCTGGGAAAGGCCTTGTAGAGCTGGAGTCTGGCAGAGCAGAAAGGGACATCGGCATGAGGGAGGGACGGTTTGCGGTGTGGCTGTGCGGCTGGTGGGTCCTCAGGGAGTCACTGGCCCCTCGTGCTCACTCTTCGGCTGAGGACGAGGCTAGACTCTCACAGTCAGACATTGGAGCGATCTGTAACAAGAGGCCGGATTCTTTCTTGGCACACTTTCAAATCCCTCTGAGAAGGAGATTTGCTGTGGCTACAGAGGGAGGGGAGGGAGGGAGGGCAGTCCCTGCCTTCCAAAGCACCAGATACAGCAATAGATTGTACAGCAGAGAAGACATGGGAAGGAATCAAAGTGGAGGCTGGGGACAGAGAGGTTTGGGAGGCAGCCCAGAGGCTCTGGGGAAAAGTCTGTCATGTGATCCCAGGCACTCAGTAAACTGAGGCAGCAGACTACTTTCTCTCTCTTTTTCTCTCTCTCTACACACACACACACACACACACACACACACACACACACACACACACGAGATAGAATCTCACATTGTAGTCTTGGCTAGACTCAAACTCACAACCCAGCTGGAGGAGGATCATAATATAATCAAATCTTAATAAAACAAAAAAATCCAGAATATTGTTTTAATCAACCAAATATTAATAATACAAAAGGTTCAAGGAAGAATGCTGGTCCCAATGCCAAGTTACAGCCCAGCCCAGCCCCTTACTGGAGGATTCTAGACAGGGATTCTACCCTGAACCCCATCCGTCCCCAGCCTTTTTTCTTTTCATTTTGAGATGCCTTAGTTGCCCAGGCTGGCCTTAAACTCAACTCTACCTACCTCATCTTCCTACCTCTGTCTCCCAAATCCTGGGATGAGAAGCATCTGTCACTTACCCCGAAGCTCCTCTGAGCCCCGCCCTCTTGTGCAGGGATCAGGACTCACCGAGCACTTGATGTTCATTCGTGAGTACAGCATAGATGCAATCTCGCTCTGCCCTGCATCCAGGGCCACCATTAGTGCGGTGCTCCCATCCTGCAAAGCACCCACAGCTGTAGAGATGCCGATGTAGAGTGCAACCCGCCCTCCTTAGGGAGCACCTGGGTGGGAACTCACTCGGTCAGTGAGTGAGATGTCACAGTTAGGCACAGCCAGCAGGAGCCCGGTGATCTCCTTGTGCCCATGCTCACAGGCACACATTAGGGCCGTGGAGCCGTCCTCGTCCTGCATGTTGACATCCACCTCACAGGCCAAAAGAGCTTTCACCACATCCACCCGTCCATGGCTGACCGCCAGCATTAAGGCCGTCTGTCCTGCCTGAGACAACAGGATAGACAGGTAGATAGTACCGAGGCCCAGTGACATCATGGCCCTGCTCTTGAAAGTCCCATGGCTCCCAAGTGCTCTGACACTGACAAGGGTACTCATGGTGGACCCTTCCTCTTCCAGGTCTCAGCATAAGCACCCTCCCCAGATGGGCTCTCCCCACCTGTATGGTCACCTGCCAAGAGCCCCCAACTCATAGGTGGGTGTAAAGTTATGTAAAATTTAACCAAATTAGCCAGGCAGGGGTGGCACACACCTTTAATCCCAGCACTCGGGAGGCAGAGGCAGATGGCTCTCTGAATTTGAGGCCAGCCTGGTCTAGAGTGAGTTCCAGGACAAGCTCCAAAACTACACAGAGAAATCCTGCCTCAAACAAACAACAACAAAAAAATCAACCAACCTACTAAACAAACAAACAAAACACAATTTAAAAAAGAAGAAACAAAAACACCCAACTAAGGTTTGTATGTTTCTGTATTCTAGTTACACCCAAAGAAACAATTAAAAATCGATGCTTGCCAGTGGAAGGAGAGAGAAAAGAAACCATGTCTAGGCATACACCGGTGTACCACTCAGCCATGAAAAGGAACACCATTCACAATGCTGATGGGTGCTCCAAGGTGGAAAAGCTGAGTGTAAAGCCAGACACACACACAAAAATCATAGACGGTTGTTGATGTTGTTTGTTTTGGTGTGTCAGAACCTCATTGTAGAACCCTAGGATGGACTAGAACCGGTGACCCTTTTGTTTAGAGATTTCCTGAACACTTGGATTCACAGCTGGAGGCTGTAACTCCTTTTACAGGACAAGAGCAGAGCAGGAAGTCCAGAGCCAGCAGCAGGGCCCTGGGGTACACATTACCTAGGGGCACAGGATTTTCCTCTTTATTATTTTCATTATTTAAATAGGCAGGTCTCATGTAGCCTGGGGGGGGGGAGCCTGGAGTCTGCTATGTTGACCCTGATCTTACTGCCCATGTCTCTTAACAGCTGGGTTATAGGCATGTGGTACCTCTGTAGACAGAGGGAGAGTGAAGGGGTCTTGGAAAAGGAAAGAGAAGAGGCGGGACCTGGTATCACAGGGTCTTGTGTGCAAGGTCTGTTCAGGCCAGCCTGGGTAACTCACTGAGCCCCATTTCAAACTAACATGTGAGCTAGAGTGGCTCAGTGGTTAAGGGCAACAGGTTTGGTTTCCTGCACCTATATGGGTGCTCACAACCACCTGTAGCTCCAATCATAGATGACCCAATGCCCTCTTCTGGCCTCCAGGTACAAACACGGTGCACACACAAACAGGCAAAACACCAAGTGTGCTGCTGGCTTTTAAAGGCTCTCAGGAGGCAGAGGCAGGCAAATCTCTGTGAGTTCCAGACCAGACTGGAGTACACTGCTAGCCACTGTCTCAAAGAGGGAGGTGGAGAGACCTTGTTGCAAAGTAGGTGAAGTGCTTGCCTTGCAGGCACAAGGAGCAAAGTCCCATCGGAAAGAACCTATGCACAACCAGGTCTGTAACTTGTGATCCCAGCACCTAGATAGCCAGTCTAGGAAAACTGGTGAATCCTAGACTTAGTGAGCTGTGTCTTACAATGCATGGTCCTCTTGAACCGTGAAGAACTAACCCTGCTTCTCTGAACCTCAGAGCACTGACTGTTCCCATGAGCACAGAACATTATCATGATCTGGCTTGGCTCACAGTCTGAAGATGATAAAGGAGGTCCAGGGGCAGGAGAGAGGCTCACTGAGTAAGGCGCTTGCCACCAAGTCTGATGACCTGAACTTGATCCCTGGGACCCACAGGGCAATAGGAGTGAACCAAGTCTCAAAACTGTCCTCTGGCCTCCATGTACCATGGCACAAGGTCCCCACCTCTAGTAAATAAAGGCACCCTGCAGCCCCATACCTGGCTGGCTTTGGCGTTCACATTCCCAAGCCGGAAGAGCTGAAGGATGGTTTCAATGTCATCCTGGGTCTTCAGGGTGGCCAGAGCTGTGAGCATGATGGGGCTGTAGCCAGCACGGTTCAGCTTGTCCACCTGACAAACACCTGTGTGGGTAGGGTGGGAATGAGCCTCTGCCATCAGGACTAAAGGCTGGCCCGCCACATGAACACTGGGGACTGTGCCCTTCCCTTTCTAGGCATAGACGAACAGGTCTCTGTATATGATGGTGTTCATGGGCTTGTGGAGAGCCGAGTATGTTCTTCAGAAGCCAGGCACTTGTGTTTGGTTTGCTTGTTTAAAAAAAAAAAAACTTATTATTTTAGAGCCAGGTGTGGAGATGCACACCTTAGTCAGCACTCGGGAGGCAGAGGCAGGCAGTTCTCTGAGTTTGAGGCCAGCCTGGTCTACAGAGTTCCAGGACAGCCATCCAAGCAAGACTACACAGAGAAACTGTCTTGAAAAACAAATACCTGTATGTATATATGTTGTTTTAAGAGATTTATTATGTTTAAATGTTTGGTATGTGTATGTGCACGAGTGCAAGTGCCCCAATGGCCCTGAAGAGGGACCTGTAGGTAGAGTCACACACAGTTGTGATGTGTAGCCTGGGAACTAAACTTGGGTCCCCTGTCAGAGTAGTACCCACTGGAAAGTCTCTGGCTCCCTAAACTATTTAAAAAAAAAAAAAAAAACAACTATTTAGTTAGTTGGGATCAGGGTATGCTATGGTGACCTGCAGAGATCAGAGGACAGCTTGCAGCAGCTGGTATCTCGCCCTCCAACTTGTGGGTCTGGGGATTGAACTCGGGTTTTCAGGGTTGGCAGCAAGTGTCCTACCCACTGAACTATCTGATGCCCCAACCTTCTTAAAAAGCTTTCTGAGTATGTGTGTAGTACATAAGTCCACACACGGGGGTGAGCGTGTGCAGTCTATGAGTGCATACACGGGGTGAGCGTGTGCAGTCTTGTGTGTGCATACACGGGGGTGAGCGTGTGCAGTCTATGAGTGCATACACGGGGGTGAGCGTGTGCAGCCTATGAGTGCATACACGGGGTGAGCGTGTGCAGTCTATGAGTGCATACACGGGGGTGAGCGTGTGCAGTCTATGAGTGCATACACGGGGGTGAGCGTGTGCAGTCTATGAGTGCATACACGGGGGTGAGCGTGTGCAGCCTATGAGTGCATACACGGGGTGAGCGTGTGCAGTCTATGAGTGCATACACGGGGGTGAGCGTGTGCAGTCTATGAGTGCATACACGGGGGTGAGCGTGTGCAGCCTATGAGTGCATACACGGGGTGAGCGTGTGCAGTCTATGAGTGCATACACGGGGTGAGCGTGTGCAGTCTATGAGTGCATACACGGAGGTGAGCGTGTGCAGTCTTGTGTGTGCATACACGGGGGTGAGCGTGTGCAGTCTTGTGTGTGCATACACGGGGTGAGCGTGTGCAGTCTATGAGTGCATACACGGGGGTGAGCATGTGCAGTCTATGAGTGCATACACGGGGGTGAGCGTGTGCAGCCTATGAGTGCATACACGGGGTGAGCGTGTGCAGTCTATGAGTGCATACACGGGGTGAGCGTGTGCAGTCTTGTGTGTGCATACATGGGGTGAGCGTGTGCAGTCTTGTGTGTGCATACACGGGGTGAGCGTGTGCAGTCTTGTGTGTGCATACACGGGGGTGAGCGTGTGCAGTCTTGTGTGTGCATACACGGGGTGAGCGTGTGCAGTCTTGTGTGTGCATACATGGGGTGAGCGTGTGCAGTCTATGAGTGCATACACGGGGTGAGCGTGTGCAGTCTTGTGTGTGCATACATGGGGTGAGCGTGTGCAGTCTTGTGTGTGCATACACGGGGTGAGCGTGTGCAGTCTTGTGTGTGCATACACGGGGGTGAGCGTGTGCAGTCTTGTGTGTGCATACACGGGGGTGAGCGTGTGCAGTCTTGTGTGTGCATACACGGGGTGAGCGTGTGCAGTCTATGAGTGCATACACGGGGTGAGCGTGTGCAGTCTATGAGTGCATACACGGGGTGAGCGTGTGCAGTCTTGTGTGTGCATACACGGGGTGAGCGTGTGCAGTCTATGAGTGCATACACAGGGTGAGCGTGTGCAGTCTATGAGTGCATACACGGGGTGAGCGTGTGCAGTCTATGAGTGCATACACGGGGTGAGCGTGTGCAGTCTATGAGTGCATACACGGGGTAAGCGTGTGCAGTCTTGTGTGTGCATACATGGGGTGAGCGTGTGCAGTCTATGAGTGCATACATGGGGTGAGCGTGTGCAGTCTTGTGTGTGCATACACGGGGGTGAGCGTGTGCAGTCTATGAGTGCATACACGGGGTGAGCGTGTGCAGTCTATGAGTGCATACACGGGGTGAGCGTGTGCAGTCTTGTGTGTGCATACACGGGGGTGAGCGTGTGCAGTCTTGTGTGTGCATACACGGGGGTGAGCGTGTGCAGTCTTGTGTGTGCATACATGGGGGTGAGCGTGTGCAGTCTATGAGTGCATACACGGGGTGAGCGTGTGCAGTCTATGTGTGCATACACGGGGTGAGCGTGTGCAGTCTTGTGTGTGCATACACGGGGTGAGCGTGTGCAGTCTTGTGTGTGCATAAACGAGGGTGAGCGTGTGCAGTCTATGAGTGCATACACGGGGTGAGCGTGTGCAGTCTATGTGTGCATACACGGGGTGAGCGTGTGCAGTCTTGTGTGTGCATACACAGGGTGAGCGTGTGCAGTCTTGTGTGTGCATACACGGGGTGAGCGTGTGCAGTCTATGAGTGCATACACGGGGTGAGCGTGTGCAGTCTTGTGTGTGCATACACGGGGGTGAGCATGTGCAGTCTTGTGTGTGCATACATACAGAAGCATCAGGGTGCTTCTTTTATTGCTCCCCACCTCGTTTTTGAGATGAGATCTGTCACTGAATTGTAGCTGTCAATCAACAAGCACCAGGACTGTCCCCTCCACCTCTCCTCACCCCCAAGGACTAAGGGTGTAGGTACATGCCTCTATGCCTGACTTTTTTTAAAGCTTAGGTGTTGGGGACCTGAACTAAGGTCATGGTGGCAGAAAAGCACACAGTCACCCCACCACCACCATTTTTTATTTACTTTTATTTCTTTTCCTTACAGTGGTCTCCTTGTCCTGGAGCTTGCCAAGCAGACTAGGATGGCTGTTGAGTGGGCCCCAGGGTTAGAGGCACAGGCAGCTGCTGCCACACACAGCTCTTCACAAAGGTCCTCACACCTTCAGGGGCAGCGCTTTACAACTGAGCCTCCTCCACAGTCTCCCCACACCTCCTCCTTGCTTCCTATTCTCAAATGGGGTCCCACCTGCTCTAGCCATACTGTTACCCCAGTAGATGAGACTGTGCCTCCTGTCCCAGACACAGCATGCCTGGCTGATGTCACATATGCAGTTAGGGCAGAGAATAGGAGCAGTGGCTCCCCTGGGGATTTGGAATTGCCATTCAGCCTTCCAATGGCTCGGTGCCTCAACCATCAGACCATGGGTTCTGCTTCCCTCATAAATTTGGGAGGCTCTGCCTCCTCCATTAGTCTTGCCTGCCTGAATACTATGTGTACTCTCCAATCCCTAGCCCAGAGGCCACAGCCTTCCCTCACACATGTCCATCACATGGGTACCATGTGATGAAGACTCCAGTGCTGTAATGTCAGGACTGAATTCATCATACTGCTACAGGAGAAGACGGAGTCCTCCCAGCACACTGCACGGGCACAGCCTGTTCTATCAGATTGGGTGGGTTACAGTCCTCCATCAAACTGGGAGGGCAAAGCCTTCTCCGTCAGTCACTGAAGGGCACATTCTCCTCCATATTCTCGCCTCATCAGATCAAGAGTAGAAGCTCCCTGAGAGTAAGAAAGCAGTGTCTCCTCCATCAGACTAGAAAACTGTAATCCCTGCTTACCACCACCCCTCCATCAGACTGTGAAGGGAAAAGGAACTTTAGACAGGAAGGCAACAACTCTCTTATGAGCTTGGGAAGACATGCCTCCCCCATCAAACCATCAGACTGGTCCTGCCTGGAGGCTTACCACTGTCCAGCAACTGCCGCACCACAGGGAAGTTGGCGTGAGACACGGAGTAGTGCAGTGCAGTATTGCCGTTGCTGTCAGCGATGTTGACCACATAGTCCAGCAGCCGGGCAGACATAGCCCTGAAGGTAACCAGATGTCGCCGTACAAGCTCAGGGTGTGCGTCACTTCGGCAGGCCAGACGCAGCCATTCCTGAAGCACCGTGGTATAGGCCACTTTCTGGATAGAGACAGCAGGAGCACAGAGTGAGGACGGGTCACCCTCCCCCTTCTGCACCAAGATCCAAGGGCAGAAGTGGGAGGCCCATCCTACAGCAAAAACAGACATGCAACAGGCTGTGGTGGCGCACACCTTTAGTCCTAGCACTAGGGAGGCAGAGGCAGGGGGATCTCTGAGCATGAGGCCAGCCTGGTCTAGAGTGAGCTCCAGGACAGCAAGGGCTATGCAGAGAAACCCAGTCTGGAAAAACAAACAAACAAACAAACTCAAACCAAATCAAAAAACAAAAACAACAGAGGTGCCCTGGCTGGATACAGTAGTAAGGTCATGTCTGATTCCAGCACCCAGGAACCCAAGGAAGGAAAATCTAGAGTTCAAGGCCAAACTGGGCTACATTCTGACAAAGTCTCTGAAAAAACAAACAAACATGAAGCAGAGGCAGGAGGATTTTAATGATCTGCAAAGCAGTTTCAGGCCAGCCAGGGATATATACTGAGACCCTATCTCAAAAACAAATCTAGGAAAATGGTATAGGTTTGTAATCCTAGCACTAATCCTAGGGAGATGGAAGCAGGAGGATCCGGAGTTCAGGGTCATCCTTAGCCACAAATGTAGTTCAAGGCTAGCCTGGGCTATACGAGACCTAAAAACAAGCAAAATGAAAACAAACAAAATAATAACCATTGCCGCAACTGCAGTGGAAGCTTTGGTACTCTGGGGTGCACAGGACCCTTGGAGTGTAGTATGCACTTGTCTCTATAGACTCTGAGACAATCACAGACATGGCCCCTAAAATGAAAGTATAGTATCTCCCAAGGACCCCAAAAATAAGACCTGATGCCAGGTCCCCAGGCAACAGTGGATGCCATCACTAATCCCAGGACTCAAGCCCCACTCACCACTAAGTGATAGATACCCTTGGTGGCTGGGTCCCCTAAATGGGTGAAGAGAGACCCTGAAGGTGGGGAGGTATGGTATGAGGATGGAGGGGCACCCTTGGACCCAGGGATCCTTCGTACCAGTTCTCGCTCAGTGAGGGCATTGGGGTTCTCCAGGTATTTCTCCAGGGCCAAGCAGGCTGAGATGAGGTCAGGGCTCAGATCCATCCTGCCAGGAACAGATAAGATTGAGCAAACATTATTTTACTTTTTAAAAATGTATTTATTATAAGCCGGGCTTGGTAGCACATGCCTTTGATTCCAGCACTTGGGAGGCGGAGGCAGGAGGATCTCTGAGTTTGAGGCCAGCCTGGTTTACAGAGCTAGTTCCAGGACAGGCTCCAAAGCTACAGAGAAACCCTGTCTTGAAATACAAACAAACAAACAAAAAAACAAAAAAAATTATTCATTATTTGGTTTTAGCTTTTTATTTTATTTTTACTTTCTACTTTCTTATTTTATCAAAAGACAGGGTTTCTCTGTGTGGATGTTCTGGATATCCCTCTGTAGAAAAAGGTTGGCCTCGGAATCACAGAGATCTGCCTGCCTCTCTGCCTCTGCCTCCCGAGTGCTGGGACAAAAGGTGTGTGTCATCACTGCCTGGGATTTTTGTTTGTTTCCTTTCTCTTTTTCTTTTTTTTAATTTTAATGTGTGTTGGTGCTTTGCCTGAATGTATGTATATCTGTGCACCATGTGTGACTAGTACCTGAACAGGTCAGAAGAAGGTGTTGGATTCTCTGTTACAGATGGTTGTGAGCTGCCACATTGTTGTGTAACAGTTTTCTCTGAGATTGAAACACTGTATCCTGCAGGAATCTCCTTGAACAGGAAGGGCAAACAACTGAAAATAGCTTCAGGAAGTTCCTGAAACTATCGAGATTCACTAGGCCCCGCCTTGCCAGTGTAGGCAATAAAAGCCCAGAGCTCCCTCAAATGAAGTGAACCTGACTACAAAGAAAATTGTGAGGCCAGCCCAGCTGCCTGGGAGAGACAGAAGGCAGCCTAGCTGCCAGGAGTTGGTTTAGGCCGCCTGGGCACCTGGAAAGGACACACTCCATCCACCCTGTGCAGCTGCCTGCAGGCTGTGCACTGTGCTCCAGGTTCCCAGCTTTGTGAGCATGCTGGGGTGGGCCTTAGTGATGCAGCCGTCTTAGAGTCATTTCTTCTCCTGTAAGTAACCCCTCACCCATATTCCTGTAAGTGACCCCAATAAAACTCACTGGTTCACCAAGTTGGATTTTGGTGGTACCTGTACCTAGGTCTGTTTTGGATGCCCTATCTGGGGTGAGTAGATGTGTGTGTTGTGTCTCTCCAGGAAGAGTTTGTCACACAACACTTGTGAGTGTTAAGAATCAAACCCAGGTCCTATGGAAGAGCTAGTGCTTTTAACTGGACTGCCATCACTCCAGCCCTCTCCCCATTTTTTGAGACATGGTCTCATGTGTCCCAGGCTAGGTTCAAACTCAATAGGGCATGTTCATCACCAGGGCTGGTGGACCTGATTGGAAGTCCCAGGTACTTGGAGGTAGAGGCAAGATAACAGGTTCAAGGCCAGCCTGGCCTACAGTGAGCTGAAGGCTAGCTTCAGCAATTTAGCAATTCTACATTAAGAAGTATGAAGAGTGAGGGTAGAGATGTGGTTTAGTTGTTACACTGTCTAATAGGCATGAGACCCTGGGGTCTAGCCCAGCAGCCATGGTTACACATGGCTATGATCCTAACATTCAGGAATTGGAGGCAGTAGGACTGCAAGTTCAAGGTAGCCTGTGCTACAGAGTGAATTCAAGGTTAGCCTGTGTTACGAGCACTTTTCCCACCAGTCTGGGCCCACAGCCACATCAGCCCCAAATAACACACAGAGACACTGTATTAGATATAAAGCTGTTGGCCTGTTACTAGTTTCTCATTGGCTAGCTCTGTCTTAAATATTAACCCATTTCTATTAACCTAAGTGTTTCCACATGGTTTTATCTTACCGGAGAGAGGGTCCTGACCTCTTCCTCTCAAGTCTCTACAACTTGACTCCTTACTACATCTCCCAGAATGCTCCTTGTCTCCTAGTCCCACCTATCTTGCTTTCCTATTGGCCAACAGTACTTTACTCATTAACCAATGAGAGAAACATATTTACAGAATGACATTTCCCATCAAAGCCTGGGCAACTTAATATTGAGACCTTACCTCAAAATAAAAAGGGAGGGAGTGGGAAGATGGCTCGGTAGAAAAGGTCTTGCCCTGTAGGTGTGAGGGCAGGAATCTACATTCCCAGACCCACAGAGTGCCAGGTGGGCATGGCAGGCAGTGGCAACCCCGGCACATGGATGGAAGACAGGTGATCTACAGAACATGCTAGCTCACCAGACTGGGCTGCACAGTCAGCTGGGCCAGGGAGGGACTAACTCAGTAGATAAGGGTGGGGAGTGATAGAAGAAGATATTGAACACCAGTCCTGGGCCTATACACACACATGCATGCACTCATGTACACACACACATGAATGCACATGCACACACACACAGACAGAGGCATGCACGCACATGAACATGCACACACGAACACACATGCACACATGTGCATATACGTACACAAACATATGCACCTATACCATACACACAGACACATACAGTACACACACCCACACATACAAAAAAGAACTTAAAAAAAAAAAAAAAAAAAAAGGAAAAACCAACTCCGAGCCTTCACATGCATACATACCCCACATGTATCCACAAACACATGTGCACACACATGACAAATACATATGAGGCAGAGGCAGGTGGGTTTCTGAGTCTGAGGCTAGCCTGGTCTATTCAGTGAGTTCCAGTTCAGCCGGGACTATATCTTAAGACCTTGTCTCAAAAAGACTCATTCAGAAGCAGGTGGCTCCTGTCTGACTAGAATGTGAGTGACTGACAAGAAGCCTGAATGGCTGGATCCCAGGCACCAGCAGGTCACCCCCATCCTTTACCCTGTCTGATGCTGTCCAACCTAGAGAACTGACCCAATTTCCTCCTCAGAGTTGGGTCCTGACGTCGACTCAGTTGTGGGTATGTGCTGAGCTTCCTGGAGTTGGCTCTGTTCTAGACTGGTCTTGGCTGCTGCAGTCCCTGGAGGCCTGAGCTGAGGGCATTCAGCCATGCTCAGAACCCTTGCTGGTGGCTCTGGGGCTTCATTCTCTGTACTCTCGTGTTCAGAGTTCTCTGCTGTGCTGGAGTCTTCTGAGGAGGACTCGTACCTAAGGAGCAGAAAGAGGGGACATTGATGGGGATGGGTGTGGGAGGACTCAGCGTGACCTCCCTGGTCCTTGGTGTCTTCACATTTTGCATTAGTCACATGCTAGGCAAGCAGGTATCTGAAACCCACGCTCCAGCCCCTCACAGAGTGATTGGAGCGCCCACAGTCCTCCATTTCTAACCATGCCACACTAGAACAATCACTCAGCTTCACTGCAGACCTGGAGTGCCCACCGAATGGGTTCCAACAAGGTGTGCACATTCCTTCACCTCAGTTTCCTTATCCTACAGTGTTTATACCTTGACTTGAGGAATTCACAGTGAGAACCACTCTCAGCCGCAGGGAAAGCTCAGGCCTCCTGTTCCCAATCTGTAGAATCACAGTATGAGGACTTGGTGGAGTCACAGGGGCTGGAGATCCACTCACCCGCCATTGACCCCCACAAAATGGAGGTTCCTGTGGTGAACTCCAGGGTCTGCAGGGTCCTCTTTCCTCTTCATGGTAGACTGCACTCCCACAATGGCTCTGCCTAAAAGAGACCATGCAACATGAGTGCCCTTGTTTCCTAGTCCACTCTGCCTGACTGGGGTCCCGTCTCCCTCACTGGTATCTGTTCACCTGCTGCCTCAGCCACTTGTGGCTCCTGGGATGCTGATGGCCTGGGAGGTTCCCTGTCAGTGGTGTCTGGGGCAGCCACCTGGCCAGGGTTCTCAGACTGTTGCATGGAAGCTGCAGCAGGGTGTGCAGCAGAGGAGGACTGTGGGACACCTGAGAGGACAAGAGAGTGGCTTTAGCTGGAGATCAAAAAATGAAATAGGCCTAGTGTATTGCTTCAGGCCTATTGTTGCAGAGTAGAGGCAAGAGGGTTAGCCTGGGCTACAGAGTGAGACCTTGTCTCTAAAATGCATAAACAAAGCTGGGCTCAACGGTAGAGCACCCATCTAGCATGCACCAGACCCAGGACCACATAAACCAGGTGTGGTGGTGTATACCTGAGATTCCAGCCCTCGGGAATGGAAGAGGCAGGAGGGTTACAACAAATTGGAGGACAGTCTGGGTTACACAGCGAAAATCAAAGGGTTAGGTTATACTGGAGAATGGGTACTACTCTTCCAGAGGACCTGAGTTCTGATCCCTGCACCATGTCAGTTTGTTCACCATAGCCTAAAACTCTAGCTCCTGTGGATCTACTATTCTCTTCTGGCCTTTATGGGCATCTCTTCCCATAAATAACAGTAAATATTTAAACACACACACAGACACACATGTAGGCACTCTCATACACAGAGACACACAGAGAGACACACATTTAAAGACACACATACATATACAGAGACACTCACAGACAACCACAAAGACACACACAGAAACAGACACTCCCACATACAGACACAGAAACAAGAGATGCACCATAACCTGTACAGTGGAAGGAGAGAAACCACCCCAAGCTGCCTTAGACCCCTGCACCCTCGACGGCACACCTTCACCCACTAAATAAACTCATGCAATTTAGATCTTTTGGCCAGGTGTGGTGGCGCACACCTTTAATCCAGCACTCGGAAGGCAGAAGCAGTCGGATCTCTGAGTTTAAGGCCAGCCTGATCTACAGAGTCAGCCAGGCTTCACAGTGTAATCCTATCTCAAACAAATGGAACATAGTAACAAACTCATACAAAGATGAGGGAGATGACTAGTTGGGACTGGGCTTGCTTTGGAAGGGTGGGGACCTGAGCTGATCCCTAGATCCACACAAATAAGCACTGCATACTGTGAACTTGTCATCAGTCACCCTGGAGCTGGGGTTGATGGCTTCCAGCCTAGCTTTCTGGTAAATTCAGGCCTGAAGGTGAGCCCCTCTGTCTCAGGGGCATCCTCTGACTCCCATAGCACATCGGCACACTGTCTAAGTCATGATGGCCACGCACAATACAGCTGGAGCACGCTAGACAGACAAGCTCCTTCCATCAAAACCTCTACCCCATGAAAGGCTCAGATCATAGAGGGAGCAGACAAGGCCCAGTGAGTTGTTAAAATCACTGAGCTGCACAGTACCACCACAGCTTAGAGCTGTCAGCCAGCATCCTGCTAATGACAGAGACCTCAGACCCTCACAGCCCTGGCTTCAGACTCAATCTCTCACACTCTAAGTCATGCCAAGTATTTTCTAGAGAAAAAGAAGTCCAATTGTGACTAAGAACACGGTAGTCAGAACAGAGGTCCAAATTGCTGATCTAGAAGCTGTGTGATCTGAGCAAGTATCTTAACATCCCACTCCCAAGTCCTTTAACTCATGGCTCATGGTGTTACTATATAGCCCAGGCTGCCCTAGAACTTCCGGCAACTCTTGTGTCTTCATCACCCCCACCCCTGCCTGGTGTGTGTGTGTGTGTGTGTGTGTGTGTGAGTGTGTGAATGTGTGATTTTGTGTGTGGCTGTGTATGAGTGAGTGTGTGTATATCTTTCTATAGCTTAGGGTATCCTTGAATTTATGGTGACTCTCCTGCCTCTGCTTCTTCAGGGGTTAGGGATATGCATCACCACACTTTTGAAAAACCGCATTTTAAAAACTATTTTAAAATTTAGGACCCGTAACATAGCTTAGTAGTAAAGTGCTTGCCTAGAATCCACCAGTGAGGGGCTGGGGTGTGGCTCAGTGGTAGAGCCCCTGCCTAGAATCCCCAGTGAGAAACTGGGGTGCAGCTTGGTAGTAGAGTACTTGTCTAGCATGTGACACCCTTAATTTCAATCTCAGTGCCACAATAAATCAACCAATCCAATCAAAACCCCACTCTGCCAAAATTTTCTTTGGAGAAGACAAAGTACAGGAGGTCAGGTGTGGTGGTGGCCTCTAATCCCAGCACTGGAGAGGAAGGAGCAGAAGGGTCTCTGAGAGTGATGAGCTGGGTGGTGGCACACACCTTTAACCCCAGCACTCAGGAGGCAGAGGCAGAGGCAGGCTGATCTCTGTGAGTTTTAGGCCAGCCTGGTCTACAGAGCGAGTTCCATGACAGGCTTCAAAGGAAACCTGTCTCAAAAAAGCCAAACCAAATCAAACCAAACAGCTATATGAAAGTGATGCCACACTAGTCTACAGAGCGAGTTCCAGGCAGCCAAGAACTGTACCAAGCTGTGCCAAGCAACTGTCTCAGTTTAAAAAAAGAAAAGAAAGGTTTGGAGATGGGTCAACTAAAGATTATTACAAACATGCTTCCTGCTGCTCCAGTGGCTAATGTGCTACACAGGGCCAACAACCTGACTGACACGCGTGAATGGACACTGTTCTCCCCACTCAGGAACACACTTAAGACAGTATGTCTTACTCCATGTAGCATTTATTCTAGGTTTTAAGGATTTTTTTTCCTGTAGCATTGGAACCTGTCCTGGAACTCACTCTGTAAACCAGGCTGGCCTTGAACTCAACAGAGATCCACCTGCCCTCTGCCTCCGAGTGCTTGGACTAAAAGTGTGTGCCCAATATTCTTTTTAGTGTCCATGTATGTCTATGTACTATGTATGTGCCTGGTGCCTGAATAAAACAGAACATCCATCAGATTCTTTGGGGCTGGAATTACAGATGGGTGCTGAGAACTGAACCCGGGTCCTATGAAAGAGAAGCCAGTGCCCTTTACCACACACAGCTCTATCTCACCGGCCCTTTGTTTTTCCAGGTCTAGAACTCACTATGTAGTCCAGGCTGGCCACAGATTCACATTTTATCCTGCCTCTGCCCAAGTGCTGAGATGAGTCGTGTGCCACCATGCTGACACAGGTGACTTCTTGGGCTCAGTCTCTAAGGACATGCAGTACCCAAGCTTCAAGTGTGGAACCACAGTGCAATTCCCACTTCATCTAGCCTACAACAGGGAGGCACACAGCGTCCCCTTCCAGCTATGGATGGGCACAGCTTGTGGAGGCCCAAAGAATGATAGGGCTCTTTAAAGGCCACATTTTTATTTAATTTTTTGTTTGTGGAGACACGGTCTCACTATGTGACTCTGGCTGGCTGAGACACCATACATAGACTATGCTGGCCTCAAAGAGATTGCCTTCCTTGGTTTCCCAAGTGTTAGGATTAAAGGATTTTTTTTTTTTTTTTTTTTTTTTAAATATAAGCAATTCACTGTTTCCTGAAGTTCCTGGGCGCTACTCAAGTTCTGCAAGGAGCTTAAGTGCTTTTCCTTCACAGAGTGCAGACAGGACAGGGTGGAGTGAGACACTTGGCTACAAACCTGTCCAAACGTAGTATCGTCTAGGGTGTGGTGACCCCAGCTGACACCAGAACCAGAGTCACACTGTGAGTAGGGGTGTGTCGGGCTCTCCTTTATTTATTATTGTTTTGTGGTACTAGGGAAGGAACCCCAGGTTTGTGTCTACTACTGTAGTTTTAATTTCCAGACCTGAGGTCTGAATCCAGGACTTGCTCTTGCTGGACAAGCACTGTACCACTGAGCTAAATCCCCAACTCCAACTGCAGTATTCTTAACTGAGGTGTGGCTCTGGCTTGCTCATTGTCTTTTTTTTGAGGTAGGGTCTCATGTGGGCCAGGCTGACCGAAAACTTACTGCCTCTACTTTATAAGTTCTGGGACAGAACCTGGACCTCCCTGTATTCTAAGCCTGTAATCCAGCAACTGAGCTACATCTTCAGGCTTTTTGATGTTGTTGGCGTCTCACTCTATAGCCCAGGCTGGCCCTGTGCAGAAGATCCTCCTGCCTCAGTCCTGACCTGGGATAACAGGCATGTACCACCATGTCTGATTTAAAGCTGCTGATCCAAAATGCTGGGGTTGGGGATTGGCAGCATAGCTCTGTGGTGGGGGAACATGCCTGATGACCTGAGTTCATCTCTAACTGGACATAGTGCTGGGATTCTGATGCCATGAAAGGCAGAGAGAAGAGGGAGAAGAGGACTCTTGGAGGCCCTTGGGCTAGCCTGGAAACCTAGCAGGGAACAAGAGAGAAACCTTGCTTCAAACAAGGCAAAAGGCGAGGACAGCTGTCTGACCTCCACGTGCCTTTTGTGGCTACATGCTTGCTCCCCAATGCATCATACACCTGAAGAACAAAGACAGAAATAAAAACCTTAGATATAGCCTGGTGTGCTGCCTCATCCCCATAAGCCCAGACACCAAAGTTAGGGGTCTGAGGCTGGATGGACATGAGTTTGAGGCCAACCTACATATATGTATATGTACTATATATGTGTTTGTACTATATATGTGAATGTGCAACATATATAGTGTATGTGCTCTGTCTATGTGTGTATACTATATGTATGTGTACTGTATATGTATGTATTATACATGAGTGCATATACTACATATGTACACTATATGTTTGTACTGTATGTGTACTAGATATACATGTGTATGTGCTATATACATACATATCTGTATGTACTACACATATGCAATATTCTATGTGAAGAAGGAAGTCAAAAGGAAAAAAAACCAAACCAGGTTAAAAGGCTCTTTCCAGGCCAGGCATGGTGGCACACGCCTTTAATCCCAGTACTCAGGAGACAGAGGCAAGTGGATCTCTGTCAAGGCCAGACTGGTAAATAGAGCAAGCTCCAAGACAGCAAGGCTACATAGAGAAACCCTGTATTGAAAGCTAAAAATGAAGCAAACCAAAATATCAGTGGCAAAAAACTTTTCCAGGGCCAAAAAGAGGGCTCACAGGGTAAAGGTGCATGGCACCTAGTGTGACAATCTAGTTTGATCTCTGGGACTCACACAGTGGAAGGCCACAACTGTGT